CTTTAATTTATTTATTTTTTATTAGATTATTTAAAAAATAATTTCTAATTTCTAATTTCCTAATTTTAAAAATAAAAATAAATAAAATACCCAAAATCCAACCTCCTTTCAGTTTCTCTTTCTCTATCTTAACTTTTCCTCTTCTTCACTCTTACTCTCCCCTTCTTCATCGTAAGCTCTTTAATCTTTCTTTTTTGTGGTACTTGCGTCAAAAATCAAATTATATAGCACATAATGAGTTGTATCATATAATATTGTCAAATTTTTATTTTAAAAAAATAAATAAAAGGCAAGAATATCTACTAAAAATCAAAAGCCAGTGGTTAAGGAACTTTCATCATCATTGGAAGTACAATGACAAAAACATCAAGGTTTTATCTTAGTTGCTAATTTGTTCTAAATTACTAATTTGTTTTTAATTAATAATTTATTCCTAATTAATAAAAATTAATCTCAATCCAATTTCTTCTTGTATTTGTTTTGACATATTTTAAATTTACCTTTTAAACTTTAATATTGAATTAGGCATTAAGGCTATACTTTTTGTATAATACCTTTCTAAATATTGAATATAATACTTTATAAATATTGAATAGACACTAGATATCAACCTATATATTAAATCTATCTTTTGAACTCTAATCCTTCATATCTCTTTTTTTTATAAAGGTTCATGTCTTTTCTTTTAATGAAAGTTAATACCTTTATGAAATTATAAATTCTAAATATTGTATAGGTATTATATATTTGACATATATTTTAGTTCCACCTATATAAATAGTAATCTCTCTATTTTCTTTTCTTGAGATTGGAATGAAAATTGAATCATAAAATGAAAATTGAATCATAAAATGAAAATTAGCGTTTAATAAAGTTTTCTCACTAAATAGTTAATTAGTATTAGATTTTGTTAAAGAAATATAAAAAAAATTAATTTTAATTTTAATTTTAATTTTAATTTTTTAGAAGTTGAGTCCATCCAACCCAATTCAAGACCTGTATGGGTGGATCATGAGTCTACTTCGTCAATTTGACATCCGAAATGATTCAATCCAAAAAACTCAAAATCCGAGACGACCCAATCCGAACCCACCCAATCCGACCCGTTTGCCAGATCTATTGATTCTTCACTAATGTAAAAGTAAAATCAAACATTAAGGCTTAGCTTCTTGTAACATCCTATTGAAA